CTTTACAAAAAAGTCTCTCTTCTCAGACTGCTTATGCATAATATTAATACAAGTGCAACTTCTTGCATCTCTGGTGGATCTACAATATGTAGGAAAGATGGAACTCCACGCCTCATCATCAGAAACGAATCTAGAATAATTTTTGCTCTCTAAAACGATGAAAAGATGACATTCGAAAGCTATAGATGGATTCATCGAGAAAGTAAAAAATTCTGAAGTTACTTTTTAAACAGAGGTCGGTCAATACTTTTGTAAAATTTAATTTGAATCATATTTATTTTTACTTATTTTTATGTCACTCAGTCTAGAATCGTATAACAATAGATGCCCGTGCTATGTTGATTGGTGATCGCAATTTTTACACGTGCACATATTTCTTATTTTTTGTTTAGTAAACTGCAAACTCAGGTCCCCTAAACGAAGATATTTTTGAAGGTTTTGAAGCTTTTAATTATATGAAGTAAAAAATTACCTAAGAGAGCAAATTATGATAATATTTTCAAAGTCATAACATTCACCAAAGACTATCTCTGAGAAGATTACTGTCGTAAGCCTAAAAATAGTCGTAAGCTCATAGTGCTTTTGATTGCAAATAAGTTATCAATGAAAATAGCACAGCATGATAACCACAAACATTGAATTAATTAATTAATTTTTGACATATTTTGAAGTAAACATTTCAATTTTATAAAATGCTTGCAAATTGATTCAAAGATTAAAATAGTTACAGATGATGAAAACTAATTTGACGGGAAAAATTTTGTTGCAATGAAATTATAAACTGAAATATTCTCAGTAAAGTTCAGTAATCATAGCTGAAGATTATGTGAATCTTTCATTATCAGAAATGGATTCTATGTTTGCTGTGTGTCTCTTTACTTTATAGCTTACGATAAATATAATAGAATGAAATGAAAAATAAGTTTAGTCTAATTCGATGTGCATATCACAGCATTGCCATTCTAATTGTTCTTTAAAAGCAATTTAGATCAAGAAATATCAAGTCAGTCATAGGTGTAGAAAACAAAAAATGGTCGCAAGTTACCTAAAACTTGACCACTTAAGTTCGAAAATGCGCGAATGCCGCAACGTGTATGTTTATTTGAGCATTTTAAAATTTTTCAATTTTTTATTTATTTAATTTCTTTTTTTTCATTCAGTTTCTATGTGCATCTGTCTTTTTTTTAATGCATTTAAATGTTTACTTTCGCTTTTTCACCTTCAACTTTTTCTTTCTGCTCTTATCGCTATTTGACTGCAATTTCATTGCATTTTCGGATAAACTAAGTCACGCAATTGAAGTTCAAAACATTTGTACTGTATTGTAGCAAACTGTGACAGTTAGTTTTACGCCAATGAAAATATGGAATCTTTGGCAGATGCTTCAAAATTGTACTACTTGATTTTAAATTATATTATATCAGTTGGTTTGTGATTGACTTTTTTCGCGATGATTGATAGCTTTATACCAAATATTTTTATTTCTTAAAAAATGCTCATATTGAATCGCGATAAATTTTTCGCTATGATTTGTTAGTTCGCTCATTTGTGTTCTACTACTGCTTTCTTAATTAGATCGCAACACATTATGGATAAATGTCGTAAGATTTACACTTCGCTGTGCTGATGGCACTGAATGCGCATGTGATGTGCACAGCCTTGTAAGGCAACCTCTGTTAAATACCAATGCAATGAACTAAAGTTTGAACAGATTTTTAAAATTTATTGAAAACCATATTGAATTTTTTGAACTGATATAGTACTTTCTTAAATAAACGCTTGGCAAAAGCTAGCAAGCTAATATTTATTTTTAAAATCATGTTTTCAGCAATGCGAAGTTCTTGATTTGTATCGCAAGTTACGTCGGGTGATTGCTTTATTTCTCGAATCATTCCTTGCAATTTAATTACCAATAAGTCATGTTCTTATCTTGCTCAATCTTAATGTGCAATGTAACTGCATAACAGTTTTATATCTAAAATGTTTTCTGGCATGAATAGCCGATGAAAAAATTGCTGCTTTGAGAAAGAAACGAAACTGATCTGCCATTTTGTGCTACGTTCAAGTTGTACACACGCGATAAGTATGCATTAGGCCGTGAGATATATGCATCACGAATGATTTATATTCGATATATGTCTAATATATTTGACATTTGCACAGAATGCATTAACACAATTTGCCGATCTTCTGAAAACATCACAATTGTCATTTTTCTGTATTTTCGTAGTCTTCGAGGAGGCAGTATCAAGGGGACACTGACTATCTCTTGAGGTACAGTGATTGCTCTCAGAATGAGCTTGTGATTTGTCAAAGTTCTCAGAAGAAAAGATAAGCAATTATAATTACCTCGCATTCAGCACTTTATTATCAATTCTTCTCTCTCATCTGTATTGAAGAACTGCTTGCGTGGCAAATCAATCTTTCATATAGTTTTGTATGCAATCAAAATAATTTGAATAAGCAAAAGTGAAAAAAGACTGAGAAAATAAGCAGTATGATTGTCAAGAAATTACCCTCACAACACGATAATGAATCATTTGCATTACAGCATTAATATTATGCATAAGCAGTCTGAGAAGAGAGACTTTTTTGTAAAGATAGGAAAGTATATACATAATTAAAACGAATTTGTATTCCCACAAAAAAACATACTGTCTTACAGTGCTGTAACCGTTCTGTAGTTTGGTACTGTCAATAAAAAATTATACTTTTTCTTCTTTGGGCACTTGAAAAAGTTTTTATACCAAAAACTAAGTCTCATAATTATCGCAATGACAATTTTTTAGAAGCATAAAGCACAAGATTGTCGAATTTTCACGTCATTTCCATCAACTTTCTTACCTTTTGAAAACTTTTGATTCTGATGCATTTTCGAGAAGTGAACATTTAATTTGACTGATAGTCACAATCAATTAATGCAAGGTTTTTCTTTCCTGAATCTTTTACTTATTTCTGGTAAGTGTAAAGGGAATAGCGTGGAAATTTTACTTTTCAAAAGAGCAATAAATGACAACAAAACGATATGGAAGATTAATCACTCGTGAAGGCCATTACAGAGAAGAGAGTGATAATGTTTTGATAGCATTATGATGAGTAAGTTGAGCTGCACAACTTGATGCTCATTAATATTTCAAAAATTTGTCAAATTGTTTTTGTTTACAGAGAATCGAACTGCGATCTTCCTTCCGCACTACAGTTGAAAAACACTAAAAACTAATCGTTAGTATCGTTAACAAGTATTCTCAGCTCTGAATTTCAATAGCTGCAGCACTGATTCAAAGAACTACAAATCACTCAATTCGATAGTCTGATTGGCCAACTTCAGCTTCTTCAGTGTTACCATTCAGATTCACATCAACAAGCAGTTTGCCTTTCGTGATAATCAAACTTGATTGTTACCAAACATAAGATAAAACAAATATGCTTCATGCACAAAAAGCGCACATTAAGTTTATTTTTAATCTCACATAATGAATTATAGTTTTGATATTAATTAAGCTCATAAAATAAACAAATTAGTATTAGTATTTTGTTTCTTACAGCTAACACGAAACATGAAATACTGTCATCAATTTTGCACTACACATTTTCTTGATGTCTTTACCTGACATGAAGTTGATGCGTGAAGTAGAATTGAAACAGAAAAAAACAATAATTGTAAAAGATAGATTAGATCGCTCAAGATATACAAAAGTAGTATGCACAAAACAGCAAGTAGAAAACAAGCGAATAATTTGTGGGAGTAAAATTGACCTTCGTGACATTTGACCCTTTCGCCTGCTGCGTCCAACAACAAAATCGAGAATTAGCATCAAGCAACTGCTTGTGTCGAGATCGTTCCCAATACCGTCCTGAATTTGTGATCAGTTGTTGCTTCTGCAAGTAATTTATTTTTTCAGCAGCGTTCATCGTCCACAATCGGATCAATCGTTGGGTGGATTTTGAGAGCATTGTGTATGTCCGGCAGCCTACGTCAGTGTTCACACCAATCAGACTGCAAACTGGTTCCTGAAGACGGATTATCATGTTATTGTCACCTATTACTACTTTTATTGCTAACACTATTAGTAATGTTATCACTATCATTATCATTATTATTGTTGCTACATCTATTACTGATTTGATAATTGCAAGCTTATTAATTGTCAATGTAATTTGTGGTCCAGAAACAATTGCTTGTTAGTATGGACTTTGCTTTATGAGTAAATTGATATGGCAAAAAACTGTAATTTAAATAGTACTTAAAGAGAACAATGTTTTAATAATAGCAAGTAAATTCGAAAATTGAGCGCTAAACTATCGAATTTAATTAAAGACATTAAAATACATTCTAGTAGGCGATTTTATGAGAAACAAATATCTGAGGAAATGTAATATTTGAAAAAAGAATGAAAAATAGAAGGGCAGAAGCTGCGGAACAAAGTGATATTTTAAAAGCTAACTTCCTCTGACAACCTATTAAATCTGACAAATGTTCGAAAGTTCTGCAAGGAAAAAGAAAAATGAAGAAACCACTTGGAAAGCTAATTTTTACAGCGATTCGATTTTGGAAGAAAGACAATACAACATATATTAATATGGAAAGCACAATAATTCACACTGCTCAAATTGTACATCAAAGTTAGATACAATTATTAATTAGCATATTTTTTTACATTTTTAGCTTCAATAATCGCCAGAATTAATTTATAGTAAGAACAGTAATAATAATAATAATGATAATAATACAAGTAATAGTAATAGTAATAATATTAGTAATATTAATAGTGATGACAAAATTAACCCAGCTTTATCTAATTAAAAAGGCAGCAAATTGGCTTTAATGTTGTTCATTTCGTGAATTAGCACTTTCAGCAATAATAATAATGATCATTTCAGTAAACTGAAGTTTACATGTGCACAATGGTTGCAAAACATCTTTATTTTGAATTATTTTATGATAAACGCAATAATTTTGATGACCATAAAGATAAATTGATATAGTTGTGATAGATAGTGATAGTGAAGGATAACATTGAAGTAAGTTTAGTTTACCTGTACGCAATGGCAACTATTCATAGTACGATCGAGTTTAAGTTCGTCATCCCAGAAACGAACGTACCTTCCTTCACAGGTGCCATGACAAGAATATGGGTCACAATCGCCAGGAATATTCGTTTGACATAGAATGCTATCGAAGGAACGTGGCTGGGACTGAGCAACATTTGCTTCAGGTAAAGCAGAGATTACTTCGACGTGCGTGAGTGAGCAGAGAACAAAAAGAGTAAGCCTCACGTGCGCTGATAGAAATAATGCAAGGAGAGTGTGTGTAACTCGAACACAACATTGCTTGAACATCAAATGTAACAGCCGTGTTGATGCCCGATTAGACATTACAAAGAATGCCTGCAATACAAGTGAACAAGTAGAAAACTGACAGCTTTCTCATTTTTGCAATCATAAAAGTAACTATTAAAGATTGCTTATGTGTTCAATCATACTTGAGTAATTACTTAAGTAAGCGTTCAATCACATTTGACTGCTTCTGCTGGACTTCGCTCATTTGTTGTAAGTAATACTCAGTGTTAACGTTTTTAATTTCTGATTTGCATTGCTCATTTGCTGTTGTAAATGTTATTGTAATAGCATTTATTGTAATTATCGCTTTTATTCAATTCAAAATCGAACAATGCTTAGTAATAAATCTTTGCGAATTCTGAAAGCAATTACTTAAATAGAAAAGATGCGTACTTATTGCTTAAAGAGTGACTCTCGCTTGTAATAACAAAAGTCATTTTAAGCTTTTAATTACTGTCATTGAAAGAACTGAAGTGATTCTATAAGCACTATATATTTTCCGATATGTTCAGTGAGAAATATTTCATTTCACTTCAGATTCCAAATAGGCAAAGTACAGTAATGATATTTTGGTAATTACTGTAATTAAAGAAGCAAAGACAGAGCGGAAAATATGTTAATTCCTTGCAAAGTCATTCAAGTCTAAAT